CTGAGCACTGCCAGGAATAATTCCTGAGTGCAGAGTCAGGAGTAACCCCTGTGCATCGCCGCCTGTGACCCCAAAAGTCAAAAAAAAAAGCAAGAAGGAAAGAAAGAAAGAAAGAAAGAAAGAAAGAAAGAAAGAAAGAAAGAAAGAGAGAAAGCAAGCAAGCAAGCAGGGCCAGAAAGTCAGTAGAGCGGATAGAGCGCTTCCTTTGCAGACAGCTGGGTAGTAGACTAGACAGCCAGGGCCACCGGAGGACCAGGGTTGTAGCTCAGCGGCAAAGCACATCATTAACAGTTTTAAGGCCTTGAAACCAAGCTTTGGTACCACAAAAGAAAGAAAAATAAAAGGTTGGAAGCAAATGTGGTAGAATTCTTTTTATTTATGTATTTTGATCTTGGGACCACACTCGGCAGTGCTTGGGGCTTACTCCTGCCAGGCTCTGGGGACCTAAGTGTTTATTAGGCTGACCTTTCTGCTTTTCTATTCTTCTTCAAATTCTTATGTTTTTTAGATTAAAAAATAAAAACCGGACCAGGCAGATAGCTCAAAGGACTGGCATGATGCTGTACCTGCAAAAGCTCCAGGGTAGGCACCTGGCGCCAGGAATCATGATTCACCCACCCACCCCCACCCCAACACCTCTGGAGTGGCCCCTCAAAAAAAGAAATTTATAACATCAAGTACACAGAGTCTGAGTCAGGAGCAGCCAGGGACCGAGAGAGGCAGGACCCCAACCCGAGAAGATGGAAGAGTGGAGGGAGACCCAGGGGAGCAGATGAGGACAGAGCCTGAGCCCAGGGCACTCATGGAGACCCTCCCTCAGGACAGAGCCACAGGAGTCCACCACACCCAGCTGCTCTTGAACCCTGCTTAGTCCTAAGTCCAGGGATCTAACTCAGGAGATTTGCACGAAAAGTGGCCTCTCCAGCTCAAGCAGATCAGGCGGTCCTTTAAAAACACTAAAAACATGGCAAGAAAATCAAAACAGTGAGGTATCATCTCACATCAAACATCACACATCAAAAGGAACGAGAACAACCAGTGCCGATGCAGATGTGGGGAGAAAGTTACTCATTCATTGCCAGTAGGAATGCCTGACTGGTCTAGTCTTTTTGAAAAACAACATGAACATTCCTCAAAAACTAGAAATTGTTAGCTTCCATCCAATCCAGCAATACCACTCCTGGGTATATACACTAGGGGCCCAAACATACCATGCAGAAAAGCCATCTGCACTCCGACGTTCATTGCAGCACTATTCACAATGGCCAGAATCTGGAAACAACCCAAGTGCCCAAGAACAGACAACTGAATAAGCTATGGTACATCTATACAACGGAATACTACACACTTTCAGGAAAAAATGAAGCCATGAGATTTGCTTTTAAATGGGTGGGCATGGAAAGTGTCATGCTCAGGGGCTAGAGTGATAACATAGTGGGAAGGGCATTTGCCTTGCACTCGGCCAACCAAGGTTTGATTCCCAGCACCCCATATGGTCCCCTGAGCACTGCCAGGAATAATTCCTGAGTGCAGAACCAGGAGTAATCCCTGTGCATCGCTATGTATGACCCAAAAAAATTTTTTAAAAAAGTATCATACTGAGTGAAATGAGTCAGGAGAGGGACAGATGTAGACGAATAGTGCTCAGTTGTGGAATATTAAAAAAAAAATAGTATGAGAATAATACCAAAAGACAATAGAAATGAGGGACAGGAGGACTTGGCCATTAAAGGACGCTTGCCACAAGTTGCGGGGGAATGCAGTTAGGACAGAGAATGGACCATTATGACAATGATAATTGGAAATGATCACTCTGGACAAAAACTGAGTGAGAAAAGGAAGAAAAGTGAAAGTGAAATGCATGATACCCCTTAATAGTATCGCAAACCACAGTGGGGTGAGGGTCAGGGCGAGGGAGAGACACAGAGACAGAGACAGAGACAGAGAAGAAAAGTGTCTGCCATAGAGGCAGGCTGGGGGTGGCAGAAAGGAGACTGGGGACATCAGTGGTAGGAAATGTACACTGGTAGGGACAGGTGTTAGAACATTGTTTGACTGAAACCCAATCATGAACAACTTTGTAACTGTGTTTCTCACCGGTGATTCAATTTAAAAAAAAAAATAAAACTCCAAGTTCTCTTGGTTCCTGAGTGTCCATGGGCCCAGGGAGGGCAATGACTGACAGTCAGGCCACAGTGCCCTCTGGCGCTATCTGCTCAGCCACAGCCAGCCAGAAAGGAAATTTCGCTGTTTTTTCCTGAATTTCCCTCTTCATCCATCCCCAATCTTTATGTCAACCTGTCACTGTCACTGTCCTCCCGTTGTTCATCGATTTGCTCGAGCAGGCCCAGTAACGTCTCCATTGTGAAACTTCTTGTTGCTGTGTTTGGCATATCGAATACAACCACTCTAGTAAAAACAGAAGGGCTCTTCATGGACAAGACACAGTTCTGGTCTATGATGATGGAAAGGAGAAAGTGCTTAAGGGCTGGGGAGATTGTTCAAGGAGCTGGAATAAATGCTTTGCCGTGGGAGCCCCATTTTCGATCCCTGGCACCAGCTGACCCCCTCTGCCTGCCTGCAGCAAGATAGGGAGATGCCTGGAGCACTGCTGGGCATACACCCCCGCCCCAGGGTTAATCTTTTCCTTTTTTTTTTAAATTTTGTTTTATCTTTTCCTTTTTTTTTTAATAAAACATCGTAGATGATACGAATATATTTTACTTTGATAAAGTTTACAAAATTAGCTAATTCGCAGGAGTGTAAAGCTGTGATGGGAAGAAAGAGAGAAGGGAACAAATACAGAGACCCGGGAGGGCCATGGGAAGCTGGAGAGGAGGGGGAAGTCAAGCCAGAACTTCGAGAAAGTTTGAAGGGCGAGATCACACGCTGTGCATGCAGGAGGCCCTGGGTATATTCCGGCACTGCATGATCCCCCAGACACTGCCAAGCACAACCCCAGATCCTCGAGCCCAGGATCTCAGCCTCTGAGTGTCAGGTATGGCCCCCAAAACCTTAAAAAATATATTCTAGCCCCTCTGATCCCTCAAGATGAAACAAGAGGCAGTAGGGTACCATGGGCAACCACCCAGGGTCCTACCTCTGTCCCAACTTGCCTCTATGTGCCATGCCCAGATAGGGCCAGAGAGATTGCACAAGGGTTAAGACACTTGGCTTGTGCAGGGCTGGCCCTGGTTCAAATCCCCTTCATTGCATATGATCTCCCCAGCACTGTCAATAGTGACGCCTGTGATCTCCCCAGTACTGTCAAGAGTGACGGTACAGCAGGTAGGGCATTGGCCTTGCATGCAGCAGACCCAGGTTTGATCCCTGGCATCCCATATGGCCTCCCTTGCACTGCCAATGAGTAATTCCTGAGCATCGTCGGTGTGACACAAAAAGGAAAAAAAAAGTGACACCTGAGTACAGAACCACAAACAGTTCTGAGCACTGCCAGGTATGTCCCCACCAACCTAAAAAAAAGGAGCTAAAGAAAGTACCATCAATAGGATCAATATTATCCCCCCTTCTTCCTTCCGTTGTAAATTGGCTCTGGCAAAACACATGCCTCCGGTAAACACTCCCCAAGCAAACCTGGCCCACCCTCTGTCCACCTGGCTACTATCTCTCCACATGCTCCTGAGTTCCTGAAATCTTTCTGGAGGTTGTGGGAATAACAAGATCCTAGCAGGGAATTCTGTTGACTGACCAGGGGCACAAGTTACATCAGAAGGTACCTGTATCCCCCCGCTCGCCCCCCCCCTCCATGCACATACCCTGCAGAAGGCCCCCAGAGGCCAGGACCCACGGCTTCCCCAGAGAGCCATGCTACACCCCACTAGCAGGGGAGCAGTTGCTACCAGTCAGTGTTCCAGGAACTGGGTGCCATGTCCTTGCTCCATCATTTCATGAGCCCTGGGCGGTGGGGCGGTGAGGGCCCAAGAGGAGCTCTCATCCATTTCCAGCCAACCGGCCGGAAGGACCTGCAGCAGCACACAAGCTGCCATCAGTGTTGGCCCACGAGTCTCAGGTGCCTTTGGGGACACCCTGGGGAGTAAGTGGAAGAGCAACGACATCAGGCGCCCAGGTGGTGAGGCCAAGACAAGGGCCAATCTATGGGAAGCAACACAGCTGGAGTTCATACAAAAACTTTTTATTTCCTGTTTATGTTCCTTCTCCTCCCCATCCCTCTCCCCCATCTGGAACCCAGCCAGCTCCTCAGGTTTCCTGATGTCTGGTGCTTGAATTGGGGGGCTGGGGTTATGAGAGGTGGGGGTCGCCTCACCAGCTCTTGTAGAAATTGAACTTCGGGCCTGGTGAAGGCCAGCAGGCAGCTTCCCAGAGTGACTCCCACGTCGGAGGCTCCATCCCCCACGGGGAGAGCCAGAGGTAAAGTCTCTCTGGGTGGGTGGCCTCAAGCTCCCCATCTCCCAGCCTCCCCGAGCCCGGCAGCCAAAGGGATGGAGGGAGGAGGGGCAGCACATCTGGATTCTAATCGACCAGAGTAACCAGGGGAGGAGGGACCTGGCTGAAGTGACCTGGGGAGGGCTGCCGGCCTGGGCAGATGAAAGAAGAGCGCGGAGGGGAACGGGCCCTCCTAGCCCCACAATCGCCTAGAAGAGGGAGAAGGGAGAGCCCAGTCCGCACTCAGCTAGGGATGCTATCAACACTTTGGGGACCAGGAAGAGAAGGACTCAGCGGCACTGAAACGGGCCTGTCGGCAGGGGGCGCTGTTACCCGGCCACCGACCAGCTCCGCAGACACCACGTGCTTCTGGACACAGAAGCTGCAGCCACGACCCGCGGTGGGGCAGAGTCCAGGACCCCCCCACCACCCCCTCCAGTTTCAGGTCACACCTTGGGGGTAGGCCGCCCACGCTGACGTCCAGGACGGCCTGCCAGGGAGGGCGCAGGGCCTCAGTCCTCCAGGGGAAGCAGCGCTCCCAAAGGGGGCCCCTGCCTGCCTGCCGGCCCTCCCCACCCCTCAAGCCAGCGCCTGCCCCCCACCCCCACCCCAGGGATGCTGTCCAGGCTCAGAAGTCCGAGTCAGCGTCCAGGAGCTCGGCCTCCATCAGATTGGTGCGGGAGTGAATGGGCCCCAGCCCCTGGCGGCGGTCCTGAACCCAGGCCGAGGGGCCGGGGGCGCTGGGCAGGAAAGGGGCCTGCAGGGGGTTGGGCTCTGGGCAGAAGGGGTTGGAGACCAGGGTCCAGGCGCCCTGTCGGCAGGGCTCCCCCGCTCCCCAGCCGCCCGTGGCCACCAGGCACTTGTGCCGGGGCAGCTGGGGCAGGCGTGGGACAGCGCTGGGCGCGGGCGCGGGGCCCGGGGGTGGCCCCAGTGGGCACACCTCCTTCTTCCTCTTCCTCCGCTTCTTCCTCCGGCCCAGCCGCTTCTCCAGCTCGGGCGAGATCTCGGCCTCCACCAGCCACAGGTTAGCTTTTTCCTCTGGAGGCACTGCCGGGCGGACATGGGGGAGACTGCCTGAGCTCGGCCAGGCCCTGCACACCCCCCTTCTTCTCTGAGATCCCCGCCCCCCCCCCCCCCCCCAAATCTCTGGTCTTTCCTTCAGCTGCTCAGGGACTAGTCCCTGGATAGAGCCCCACCCCTCTCTGGCAGCCCTTGACAGTCCAGTCTAGGAACTCCAAGTTTCTAGCTGCCGCCCCCCACACCTTTTTTTTTTAATTTTATTTATTTGTTTTTTTTGGAGATCACACCCACCGATGCACAGGGGTTACTCCTGGCTCTGCACTCAGGAATTACTCCTGGCGATGCTCAGGGGACCGTATGGGATGCCGGATGCCGGGAACCCAGATTGGCCGCATACAAGGCAAATGCCCTACCTCTGTACCATCACTTTACCCCCTCCCCCACACACACCTTCTTGAGGAAGCCCAGACCCCCCTACCTGGAGTTGCCACAGGGGTGACAGACACATCCTGAGGGAGGATGGCACCCCTTCGAGCCACCATCTTGGTGACATGCTGGGCCCAGGCAGAGGACACATCAGCTGAAGGTTCGTTGAGGTCAAAGGCCAAACCAGCTGTGGGGACATAAGGATGAAAAATTGTGACCCCAAGGCCAGAGCTGTAGTACAGTGGGTAGGGCACTTGCCTTGCACGGGGCCAACCTGGGTTCAATCCCCGACATCCCATGTGGTCCCCCCAAGTTCAGCCAGGAGTAATTCCGGAGTGCAGGAGCCAGGAGTAATTTTTGGACATCGCCGGGTGTGGTCCCCAACACAAAAACAGTAACAAAATTGTGACCCATCAGACTCATGGTGACCCTGAGTCCTTAGTTGACACTGTTCATGTTCAGATCACTAACACAGATCAGCCAGACACCACAGTGGTTTCTACACATGTCCAGTGTGAAGTGAGAGGCCTCACGAGGGGACGGAAATCTAGTTCTCAGAGCCCTGGCGTACTTCAGCGTGGGGAGAATACATGGAAAAGACAGAGTTCCAAGAGGAACGCCCTCAAAGCAAGCCAGGGGCAGAAACAGGAGGGGACATGGAAGGATGCAGTGCTGAAGGCCCTAACACTTTGGCGGTGATGCAATATGGTTACTGTGTTCACCAACACCAAAAATGCTAACGCTATGGTCAGCACATCACCCGAACCATAATGCTGTGATGAACACTTAAAATTAGTGTTTGGCCAGAGCAACTGGACAGTGAGTAGGTGCTTGCCTTGCCTGCGTCTGACCAGGGGTTTAGTCCCTGGCACTCTCTATGGTCCTTTGAGGCCTTCCAGAAGTGAGCCCTAAGTACCATCAGGTGTGGCCCAAAACACAATAGTAATAATAATAATAATAATAATAATAACAATAATACAGACATGATAAAAAAATGAACTTTCATATTACCCAGCTATTTCCCTCCTGGGTACCTATGCCAAAGCTAAAAATATTAACCCATAAACACATCTGCACATTTGTGTTCATTGCAGCATTATTTACAGTAGCCAAGACTGGAAACAAAACAGGTGTCCACAAGTGCCCACCACAGTATAACTACACAATGGAGGAGGAGAGATCCTACAGCCTGTGGCAACCCCGAACAGCCAAGTGAAGGGAGTCAAGAAGGGAAAGAGAAAGGCAGAGTGATCTCATGCATGGGGTGAAGGAAATAGAGCCCCAGTGGAAATAACGCTATGTTATTGCCACTGGAGCAGAGTACCCAAGCAGCCCAGGGGACAGGAGGCAGGAGAGACCTGGGGACAGTGGTGGATGGTCACTGACACTGGTAAAAAAGCAATAGAGGGCTCCGGGCCATAGGAAAGCATAGGAGGACATTTGCTTTGCACATGCCTGACCGGGTTCAACTCCCAGCATCCCATAGGGTCCACTGAGCACCGCCAGGAATAAGTCCTGAGTGCAGGGCTGCAAGTAACTAACCTCCAAGCACCGCCAGGTGTAACCCCAAAACTAAAAGAAAAAAAAATAGTGCTTGCGAATAAGGCAGTCCCCACTATGGTGCACGTGCCTGGACAGTGGGGGAGGGTCGGGCAGAGGGCGCAGGGGGCGGGGCGGGGCTCACCCACGGGCCCGTCGTGGGAGACTGTGTGCATGCTGAAGGAGAGCTCCTGGCCTGGGTTCTGCAGCAGCTCCCGCCGCTTGGAGAAGGCCTTGGCGATCATCTTGCTCTTCTTGATGCGTTTGGGCTCATCATCACTCTGCCCCGTCAACCTGAGAGCAGAGAGGGAGGGGTGAAGTCCGCAAATCCTATCCAACCCCACGACAGCACTAGGCGAGGACAAGAGGCGTCACCAGGGGGCAGTGGTGAGCTACAGAGAAGGCGGCTGCGGCAGCCCGGCGCTAGGATGGGGGTAGGGGAACGGAAGCCGGCGCTGAGCCCACCTGCACCAAGTGCGCCTCCAGATGAGTAGCGTGGCCTTGGTCCAGACCCAGGTGCTCATGGCGATGCCGGTCCCGAACATAGCGAACAGGTTGATCTTCTCCACCAGGAGGCTGGGGCGGTTCTTGATCTCACAGTCAGGGATGGGCTTCTTGGTGGTCAGCCCTATGGTCACATTGGCCTGGCACCTAATTGGGAAGGGACAGCGACGGCAGGTTCTCTGGGGTTCCTGGGCGGGTCCCCAGACAACCCATCCAGGGATGGTAGAGAGAGCGCTAAGTCCCACAGCACTCATCACTGCACTGGGTGCTCATTAGCGTCCCCGGGGAGCTCTTAATAACCACTGGAGTCTGGGCCCCACCCACGATCATTAAAGCCAGTCTGGGGGGGGGGGGGGTGTGACCCAAGCGCTCAGTGCGGTTTAACGCTCCCCGTGGAGGGCACTGGAATCCAGAAAGAGGTGAAAGCAATCAATGTGTGTACACCCCAGTGAACATTTTCTTCAACAGAGGCTGTACTGGGCTGGAGCGATAGCACAGCGGGTAGGGCATATTTGCCTTGCATTCAGCTGACCCAGCCGACCTGAGTTCGATTCCTCCGCCCCTCTCGGAGAGCCCGGCAAGCTACCAAGAGTATCTCGCCCAACACAGCAAAGCCTGGCAAACTCCCCGTGACGTATTCAATATGCCAAACACAGTAACAAGTCTCACAATGGAGACGGTACTGGGCCCGCCTGAGCAAATCGATGAACAAGGGGAGGACAGTGCTACAGTGCTACAGAGGCTGTACCCAATGGTGCTGGGGGGTGGGGTGGGGGTCCCAGGGGCATTCCTGGGGATGCTTGGCCCAGCTCAGGGGGAGTTCAGGGGGCCCTAGGACCCATCGCTGTCCTATCTCTGGTCCCTTTAATAAACCTTTCAGCTGCCACTCCTGGTGCTGGCAGCTGCTAGGCCTGTTTCCACAGCTGTGCTGCCTTACTCTCTCCTGTTTGTGCTCATTCGGGTACAAAAATGCACAAGCAAAACCAGCAACCACCAACAGGTTAATTCATCATAGAGAGTGGTAACTGCTTGTGGAAAGGGTTTATAATAATCTCAAAGAGCACTGGCAAGCAGAGAGAGCAACTTCTGTGACTGAGGCCCCAGTTTGGTTTTTAGGTTGGTCAGTTTGTGGGCCACACCCAGTGGTGCTGGGGACGTCACTTATGAAGGCGCCAGGGATCAAACCCAGGTTTCCTGCTGGAAAAACACGCACTCCAGTCCAAGTCCACTTGGACGTCTGCTAGAGAGCCTTGGGCCACTGAGGGAGGGCGGGGCCGAGCGGAGGCTAGAGGTTCTGTTCCCAACCCCCACACTGATTTTATCTGCGGCCCCACCCCCACCCCCAAGCAGACCCTGCCACTGAGCCTGGGTGCCCACTCACAGCACGTAGTCCCGGAAGCTGCGTTCCCACTCAGCCTGGTTGAAGAAGTCATAAAAGTGGCAGCTGAAGGTGATGAGCACAAAGCCAAAGGCCAGGAAGCCAAAAATGCCTGTGGAAGGACAGGGGGCTGCGTCAGGGGGCGAGTGCAGACTGGGCTCAGTTCTAGAAGGAACTTCTCCGAAGAACTGATGCCACACCTGTGGCATCTCTGGAAGAGCCCGGGAGGAAGGGAGGAAGCTGGGCACGAGGCAGCTGCCTTGGGGTGAAGATAAACCCCTCCTCCCTTCAAGCAGTGGCAGACACACACACACACACCTCACAGCCTTGACTCACCCCCAACCACACACACACACACACACACACCCTTCCAGCCTTGACTCGTCCCTCCTCCTTTTGAGCAGTGGCACGCACACACACACACACACACACACACACACACACACCCAGCCTTGACTCGCCCCCAGTTTTGGGGTGAAGACAAGTCCCTCCTCCCTTTGAGCAGTGACAGCCACACAAACACACACACACACACACACACCCTCACAGCCTTGACTCGCCCCCAGCCACGACTTCACCCAAGACTCCTGCTCCTCACCCAGCCGCAGCATGGTCTCGTTGATCTTGCTGGCAGCCTTCTCGCTCAGCAGCCCGGGGTGGTTACTTTTGATGGAGAAGAGAGTCATGACACCTGAGTGCAAAGGAGACCTCAGGCATTAGGGAGGGGTGCTCGCTCCCCTGAATGGATGAGAGTGTCAGGATGTGCCCGCGCCCGAGGCTCTGAGTCGAAGGGTTGCTGTGCAGGTTCGGCTTGAGCTCCAGGAACAGACCGATGGTTCCTTTGCATGCACGAAGCCCAGGCTCAATCTCCAGCACTGCAAAGTCCTTTGAGCACTGCAAGGTCCTTTGAGCACTGCTGGGAGCGACCCCTGAGCACTGAACCGGGAGTAGACCCTGAGCACCTCCAGGTATGGCCCCCAAACAAAACAAGATGGAAAACTTTTTTTTTTCAGTCGTTTTTTGAGACATATCCAGCAGTGCCCAGGGCTTACTCCTGGCTCTGTGCTCAGGAATTACTCCTGGTGGGCTTGGGGAACCATATGGGATGCTGGAGACTGAACACGGGTTTTCCCTGTGCAAGGCATAATGTCCTACACGCTGTTTTATCACTCAAGTCCCCAAACAAAACAACTTTGGAGTCTAGGAAAAATGAGGCACAGCAGTGGCAGATCTGCCATGGACAGAGAGACTTGAGCAGAGAGGAGAGAGCCTGTGGGCATCTCACTCCTGACCCATCCCTGAGTGAGGCAGCCAGGTCACAGCTACTCAGCTGAAGAAAATATAAAAAGATACGGGGGTGTTGGGGCAGAGATAGTACAGCAGGTAGGGCACTTGCCTTGCATATGGCCGACTCAGGGCCAATAACTTGGGGGTTATTCCTGGCAACTCTTATGGCCCCCACATGCACCGCCAAGAGTAATTCCTGAGTACAGAGCCAGGAATAACCCCCAAGCACCACTGGATGTGGACCAAAAAAACAAAACAAAACACACACAGAAAAAAAAAAATAAGATATGGGTTGTTAGAGGGATAGTAAAGTGGGTAGGGTGCTTGCCTTGCATGCAACGGACCCAGGTTTGATCCCCGGGTTTGGTTCTCTGAGCCTCACCTGGAGTGATCCCTGAGCACAGACCTGGGAGTAAGCCCTGACACCGACAAGTGTGGCCCCCAAACAAAAAAACAAAAAGACATGCGGTGATGGAGAGAGAGCTCAGGGCTTAAGTTGCTTGCTTTATATGAAGCCAGTCTTGGTTTAATCCCGACACCACAAGCACAGAGCTGGAAGTCACTTCCAAGCACCACTGGGTGTAGTTCACCCAAGCAAAAAGACATATTAATCAATAAAACGACAGGGGCTGAGTATTTGCTTTGCCTGCAGGGCACCAGGTTCTGTCTCGGTCCCTGTCTGCTCCCAAAACAAGACACTTGAGGACAGTGCTGGCCAACAAAATACAAGGTGAACTACAGAAATCATGTCAAAATGTCTGGCAGTCGCATTAAAGAGGTAAAAAAGTGGACTTAGGGAGCTTACTCAAGGGGCTAGTTTAAACACGTCTCATGGGGAGACCCAGGCTCCATGCCGACACCTCACAGGCCCCAGCGCACTGCTGGGAGCAAGCCCTGAGCACCAATGGGTGTGGCCACAAAACAAAATAAATAGGGGGCTGGAGCAATAGCACAGCGGGTAGGGCATTTGCCTTGCACGCGGCCAACCTGAGTTCGATTCCCAGCATCCCATATGGTCCCCTGAGTGCTGCCAGGGGTAATTCCTGAGTGCAGAGCCAGGAATAACCCCTGTGCATTGCCAGGTGTGACCCAAAAAGCAATAAATAAATAAATAGAAATAAAACGTGGAAATTTATAAATATAAAATTAAAACATTTAGGGATTTAGCTCAGCAGTAGAGTGCAAACATGAGACCCGGGGTTTGATCTATGGCACCTAAATAAATAAATAATATAAATAGTGAAACTAACTTTATTGAGGTTATAAGCATATTTTATAATCTCAATAAATTCAAAAGATTCTCATTTCAACATGCAACCCACAGTGAAAGACTGACTCTGTGCTCTGTGAGATGCAGCATGTTCTTGACACTGGGACATAGCTCTGTGTGGACTTGTGTCCAAACATGTGGATGGTGGCCACCACAGAGGAGAGCAGGACACATAAGCCAGCAGCCCCCACACAGCCCAGGAGAGAGGAAGAGGGGCTGAGGAGGGCTGGCAGAACAGGAGAGTTGAGTTTGCAAAGGAAATGCAACAGAAATGAGTTGAGCAGATCCAAGCCTTAGCATGGAGTTGACAGGAGGGGGCTGGGGAAGGGGGGGCAAGAGAGAGAGAGAGAGAGAGAGATGAAACTCCAAACAGAGATAAGTGTGTGTGGGTGTGCATATGAGTATGTACGTGTGAGTGAGTGTATGAGAGTGTGTGGGTACATGTGTGAATGTGTGCACATGTGAGAGTGTGTGCGCATGTGTATGAGACTGTGTGTATCAGAGTATGGGTATATCTGTATACGCGCGAATGCATGTGTGTGTGTGTGTGTGTGTGATTGTGTGCATGTGTGAGAGGGTGTGTGTGGGGGGGGGGGAGAGAGAGAGTATGTGAATGTGAGTGTTGTGGGCAGAAGGGAGATGAGAAATCAAGTTCCGAAACACTGAGGCATAAGTAAGTGCAGAGTGCACATGGGGTCCAAGAGGTCAGCAAGGGGGTGCCTGGGGATGGGACGGGACAGGTCACTGCAGGTAATTCCCTCCCAACACAGCCTGAGCCCTGGGACAAGGCTGGGAGGAAGGGCTGCTGGCCCAAGTCTCGGTCACTCAGGACAGCGGGCGGGCAGCTCTTCCTCACACTCAAGCGTGCTCTGCACCTCTGGGGGGGGCCTGGCCGGGCCCTACTCACCCCGGATGAGGAAGTAGCCACCCACAATGAGCACCAGGCCAATGGGGGCTAGCACGAAGCCAGCGCGGTAGTGGTAGTTCTTGTAGCCCACGAAACAGATGCCGCTCACTGAGTCCCCGTCCACCTGCCACAGGGAGGGACGGGAGGGACACAGGTGTCACATGCCTCCTCTATTATATTATTCTTTCTTTTTTTTTTGTTTCCTTTTTCTGGCCACCCCCAGCGATGCTCAGGGGTTACTCCTGGCCCCACGCTCAAGAATCACTCCTGGTGGGCTTAGAGAGTCATATGGGATGCCAGGGATCGAACTGGGCTCGGCCATGTGCAAGGCAAATGCCCACCCCGCTGTATCAGCTCTCCTGCCCAACATGCCTGCTCCCCTAAGCTGCTCCCACCCAGGCATGGTCCCCCAGCAGTCACTGTACCTGGGCCACTGCGAGGATCGCCACTGTGAGCACAAAGGGCAGAGACCACGTGAGCAGGTGGAAGTAGGAGGTCTTGCCCGACAGAGGCTGGTAGGTGGTGCCCAGTGCCTTGAAGGAGGTGTGCCAGGCATAGGTGAGGACCACAAACCACACAACTCCGGCCATCAGGGCATAGTAGACGATGACAAAGATGATGACACACGACAGGGTCTCGTTGGAACTACAGACAAAGTATTTTGTGTGTGTTTGGGGGGGGGTTATTTCTGGGGTTACTCCACTAGAGCTGTCCACCCTGCCCGAGAGACTTGGCTTCTCAGGTCGGTTTCCCAGGCGCCAGAAACCAGGCCTGATTTGAAGAGACACAGAGGGAGGAAGAGATATCTCAACTTGTCAGGTTCCATTCCTGCCCCTACAAAGTCCCCCATCACCACCAGGAGTGACCCCTGAGTCCAGGGCTGGGAGTAACCCAACACACAAGTGAAAACAAATGCAGGGCCGGAGCAATAGGACAGCGAGGAGGGCCGCTGACCCTGCATGCTGCTGACCCAGTTTCAAATCCCCTGTGGTCTCTCCAAGCCCTGACAGAAGTGTTCCCTGAGTACAGTGCCAGAAGTAAGCCCTGAGCACTGCCAGGTGTGACCCACCACCCCCCCCCCCAAAAAAAAATCAAATAAAAAAGACTCTCCTTTCAGGAATCTTTTCTATAGCTCATTCCTAGAGAAGTCCCTCTGTTCGATGTAGCGCTCCTGAAACCCGAGGAGGAGCCCAAGCATCCTCTCCCAAGAGTGACCCAGGTTCCAGGTGTGGCTTTTGCAACTGCCTTGTACTACTGATGATGTCTTCTCTTCCTTTGGAAGAGTGAAGGGGGAGAGGATGCAGTCTGAGTGGTCCAGATTAAAAAAAAAGACAAAAATAGGATGCAGGGGATAGAGAAAAAGCTGGGGATGGCGGTCTCCACACAGCAGACCACGTGGTCATCCTGAAATCTGGCTACCCACATCTCACAGGTCCTTCGGGCACCAGACCCACGTTTCCCAACCTGCCCTCCCTCTGCCTCGCCTCTGGGTCCTGATGTCACATACGTGGGCTCCCCCAGCCTCATGGTGCCGTCTGCACGGCAGACGATCTCCCGGCGGGCGCCGTCCATGAACTGGGCCAGCCAGCCAATGCTGCCCACGAAGAAGCATGCGTTGACATAGAAGAGGATCACGGCAGGGTAGCGATTCGAGTTCCGCCAGTCGGCCACGAAGGTGGCCTGCGAGAGAGAAGCAGCAAGCAGGTGGCTCTGTGAGCTGACGCTTTCCGGATGTCTCCGGATGTCTCTGGCGGGGGTTGGGGGGATTCCGAGTCTGGACTGCAGGTTCCAGCCGCCCCCCTCCCTCACCTCCCTCCCCCTCCCCCGCCAGCCCTGGCTAACCAAGGTGAAGAGCGTGCAGAGGCCGGTGACGGCGCCGAAGGTCGCGATGTACCGGTGCATGTCCCGGTGCTCGGCTTCGGTGAAGAGCGGGTTCTGGCACTGAATCCCACAGCCCTCCACGTCCTCGTACCAGCTCTTGGGGTTGTCGGTCCGAACCAGGGGGGCCTCGCACTGTCCCGAACTATTGAACTTGATGTTCTGCACCTCGTTCTGAAACAAGGGAAGGGAAGAGAGTGCAAAAGCAGTAGGAGGCGGGAGTGGGGGGACCCTTGATGGTGCTGTGGGGAGCCTGGCAGAGGGGTTCCACACACCTCGCTGAAATCCCAGCTTTGCCGTGCAATGGCTGTGTGACCTGGGGCAAACAATCTGACTTGTCTGCCACCCAGGGAGATGTCTCATCAGGCTGAGAGTGTGTCAGAGGCTGGGTCACATTCCCGGCATCCCATGGTACCCCCACGCACAGTACAAGGAGTTGCCCCTGAGCACCAGGTGTGGATCAACCCAACAGAATCTCCTGACCCCTCTGGGACCTCAGTTTCCTTCTCTTTAAGACAGCAGGGCCCACTTCAGGCTGTGTAGTTTTCATTTTGGTGGTGAATTTTGGGCCACACCCAGCAGTGCTCCGTGCTTAGTCCTGGCTCTATGCTCAGAAACCACTCCCGGAGGTGCTCAGGGGATCATACGCTGTGTCGGGGGACGAACCCAGGTTGGACACATGCACGGCCTTACCAGCTGGGCCAGCCCTCCAGCACTATTTCATGCTGTGGGTTACAGGGTGAACGAATACACAGATGTGAAATGGGGCCAGAGCGACAGCAAATGGGTAGGGCATTTGCCTTGCATACAGCCGACCCAGGTTCTATCCCCCGCACCCCATATGGTCCCCCAAGCACCGCCAGGAGTGAGTCCTGAGTGTAGAGCCAGGAGGAAGTCCTGAGCATCACTGGGTGTGGCCCCAAAATTTTCACAACAAAAGAAGTGAAAGATCCGGGACAGTAGTTGGTAGGAAGTCGGCTGAGTGACAAGCTTTACTGTGACCATTACTACGGATCCTTTTCAGCACCGCTTGCGAGTTTTTCTTTACCAGCCAGAACTCAGTCATCACACCCCATCTTGCTGGCTCTAGCTGCATAAGCTGTGCTTCCTGGGGGTCAGCTCCTGGCCTAAATCCCCAACACCTAAGCGTGGGTGTTCCACACGATCTGTGACCCCAGTAACAATCAGACAGTCCCTGATGGACTGACCCAATCAGCAAGGGTCTCTGCTCACGAGGGGACCGTGTGGTGCCAGGGGTTGAACCCGGGATGCATCAAGCCTTCCCTCCAGCCCGTCCCTCCATCTCTGCGGTCCCGTCTGTTGGGGCCTGGCACCCCCTTGGTCCACAGCTCACTCACCGGGCAGCCCTCGGGAAAGCGGTCGGGGGTGCAGCGCAGGAAGTCGGGCCAGCCCCGTTCCCTCTCCACGATGGCACAGGGGCCACGGGTGGCCTGGCACAGGGTGCGACTGGGTAGCTCCACACGGTTATTCTCACACTTGGGCATGTACACAGCGCACAGCAGGGGCTGGATCACTGCCCAGCAGCGGGGGGCATTCCGGAGACCTGGAGAGTGAAGACAGGGTGGCCAAGTGGCTGCGAAGCTCCTATGTCACCGATTCCAGCTCCAGCCCCCACCGCACTGCCCCCCAGCTGCCAGCTGATGGATGGCATCTCTGCTGGCCAGGCCGCAGGCTCGGGGACAGGACTTTTCTCCATGCAGGCAGGCACAGGTATCCTTAGACCCTGCCCACCATAGGCAACAGGACCTCTCTCTAAGTTATTGGGGCCACCAAAAGTCCGCTCACGACCACCAACACCCCACTCGGGGGTGCCCAGTGGAAGAAACCCCCCAAGAGGAGCTTCCGGGTCCCCTGGAGAGGCTCTATTTCTGCCTGGTATTGGGGACATGGACACATTCGCCTCGTGGAAACCAAGTGTAAATTCTGAGCCCTTCTTGGCATGCAGATTCCAATCTAACGGGAGGCTCTAAAATTTAGCACCGCCGTTGCCGCATTGATAGGGAGTGACAGCACCTCTGAGGGCCGAGTCCCCCCCCCTCCACTGATCCACCTTCCACCTTTGGAGCTCTGGCCTTAAAACAGGCCCCTCGGACGGCGGGGGGGTGGGGGGCACCCACCCCTGACAAGCCTGTGCACCAGAACCCGGAAGCCACTCCCCGTGCCCAGTCCCCAGAATGTGGTTCCTCTTACCGGGAGAAGGTGAGAGAGAAGAGAAGTGGGAGGTTAATAGAGGTAGTCGGGGGAGCCGGGTGCTGCAAAGCCCAGGAGGAAACAGGAAACCCGGTGGGGAGAAACAGAGGAGGCTCTGTCCAGTGCAGAGGGAGGAAAGGGAGTGTCAGCGTGAGAGAAAGAGGAGAGGGGTCGCCCAGCACCCCGACCCCCCCCCGCCCACCTCACCCCTGCTGTCCTTCAGCGTAAACACGCCCACCAGCCTACTCCGGGATCATCCTGGGGTCAGGAACATCCATTTCCCAAGCAATGAGTTAGAGTAGAAGTTTCTGGAACCATGAGAGCCAACAGGAATGAAAGCCACACTGCCATGCCAGGGTGGTGGGGTGGAGGGTAGAGAAGGAAGAGGACCGACAGGGGGATGCCATAAGGTGGGTTCCAGCCTCACTGCACTATTTCCTGGCTATAGGGTCCAAGGTAAATGAGTCTCTCTCTCACTCTCTCTTTCTTCCTGGCTCTGTACTCAGGAATCACTCCTGGCAGGCCCAAAGGACCATACAGGGTGCCAGGGATAGAAACCAGTTGGCCACATACAAGGCAAGCACCCCACCAGCTCTCCTACTGCTCCAGTCTCATGGCTTCAGTTTTCTTTTCTGTTGGGGGAGAGGAGGGAACTGTGTGTGTGTGTGAGGAGGTTGGGTTTATGGACCACACCTGGCAATGATGTTCAGGGCTTACTCCTTGCTTTGCACTCAGGGACCACTCCTGGCCAGCTTAGGGGAACCATATAGCGTGTCAGAGATCAAACCCAGATCAGCTGCATGCAAGGCAAGAGCATTCCCACTGAACTGTTGCTTCAGTGGTCTCAGTTTTCTTACCTGGGAAATGGGGCTAACAGATTGACTGAGGAGATGATGCATTATGTGTGCCTCACCTGGGACGTGCCAGAAGGCACACTCAGAAAAGCAGCTGCTTGTGTTACTTGGTCAGGCCACTCACAGCTCCCAGAGCCCTAATTAGGGATGGAGTAAAATCCTAGCCCCAAAGAAGCAAGACCTGACCCAAATGAAAAATCCCTAGGGGCAGGGGTGGTCCCAAGTGATGGTACAGCAGGTAGGGTGTTTGCCTCACATGTGGCTGACTCAAGTTTAATCCCTGCATCCTATATGGTCCTGTGAGCACCGCCAGGAGTAATTCCTGAGTGCAGGGCCAAAAGTAACCTCTGAGCATTGTCAGGTGTGGCCCCAAAATGAAAAAACCCAACGGAACCAAAAATTAACAAACACACACACACACACACACACACACACACACACACACACACCAAAACATATCTCCAGGGGCCCCTGTCGCTGGCTGGAGCCCACACTCAGAAGGTCTGAGGGAAGGGTGGATAGGGCAGTGGTCAAGTGGTCACTGGTGTAAGGAGGAGAGTTTGTTAACAAAGGAGCAGCAGGAGGGAGTATTTGGGGGTGAGTGGGCTGTTCTCTATCTTGAGCGCATGTGAGTCTGCAGATAAATATACTCACTTAGGAGCACACACCACAAGCACATTTTACTGTCTCTGTATTAAAGAATTAAACTGAAAGTGAGGAGGGGCAGTCTGAGGACTCAAATAAAGTCTAGAGTTTTGCTTTGTATTGTAGGGCTAGAAAGACAGTAAGTACAGCAGAAGGACATTTGCCTGGCAGATGGCCAAGTCGGGTTCAATGCCCGACACCCCATATGATCCTCAGAGCACTGCCAGCAGGGATCCCTAAGTGTACGGCCAGGAGTAATCCTTGAGCATCGCCAGGGATGACAGAAAACAACAAAAAAGCATTGTAATACAATCCTGGTATCCCCAGTAAAATGGAGAGAAAGGGGGGGACAAGGAAGGAAGGAAGGAAGGAAGGAAGGAAGGAAGGAAGGAAGGAAGGAAGGAAGGAGAGAAAGGAAGTGAGGAAGGGAGGAAGAGAGGAAGGAAGGAAGGAAGGAAGGAAGGGACGGAGGGAGGGAGGGAGGGAGGGAGGGAGGGAGGAAGGAAGGAGAGAAAGGAAGTGAGGAAGGGAGGAAGAGAGGAAGGAAGGAAGGAAGGAAGGAAGGAAGGAAGGAAGGAAGGAAGGAAGGAGAGGAAGAGAGGGAGGGAGGGTGGGAGAAAGAGAGAAAAAGGAAAGAAGGAAGGGAGGGAGGAAGGAAGGGAGAGAAAGAGAAAGGAAGGAAGGAAAGAAGGAAGAAAAGAAGGGAAGAAGAAAGGAAATTTGGCTTAAAATTTCTTTTATTATCAGTAAATGTTTGATTTTTATGTCTATTTTATATACCTGGGGTCAGGTAAAATCTCTTGGAAAAAAAGGAAGCTTGTTCTAGAAGACCAGACAGCTGATAAATAAAAATGTTATTTTTTAAATTTTGTGATACTTCGCGGTCCTTATTTTTTATTTATATTTGGGGGGGTGGACTGGGTCATCCCTGGAGGTGCTCGGGGCTTTCTCCGTGTTCTGTGCTGAAGGGACCACATGCAGTGCCAGCACCTAACCCCCGCACTTTCTCTGACCTAATTACCAGTCCTGAAAAATGGGCTGCTTGAACCAGAGAGACAGTAGTACAGCAGGCGGGATGCTTGCCTTGCAGAGTCCATTTCCGACACCTCATAGGGGCCCCCCCAAGCACCACCAGGAGTGATCCCTGAGTACAGAGCCAGGAGTCAGCCTTGAGCACTGCCATGTATGCTCCCCAAACAAAAAATAAGCTTCCGACCATTTCACTGCCACTAAGATGGATGCAGTGAAGACAGGGAAGGGACCACTATGATGACAGTTGGAAATGATCACTCTGGACAAAAACTGAGTGCTGAAAGGAGGTAAAGTGATATGCATGATACTTTTTCAGTTAACGGTGTTGCAAACCACAATGCCTAGGAAAATGAGAGAGAGAAAGAGAAAAAGTGTCTGCCATAGAGGCAGGCTGCTGGGGTGGGGAGTGGGGGCAGGTGGGAGGGAAACTGGGGTCACTGGTGGTGTAAATGTATACTGGTGAAGGGATGGCAGGTGGAGCACTGTATGACTGAAATCCAATCTCAAACAACTTTGTAACTGTGTGCCTCACAGTGATTAAAGCAAAAAAGTTAAAAAGAATAATAAAAAGAAAACTAAATGATTTGCCATTTACTTTTTTTTTTCTCATTTTACTTACTTCATACTTAAAAAAAAATAAGATCTGGGGCTGGAGTGATAGTACAACGGGTAGGGGCATTTGCCTTGCACACGGCCAACCCGGGTTTGACTCCCAGCATCCCATATGGTCCCCTGAGCACTGCCAGGAGTAATTCCTGAGTGCAGAGCCAGGAATAAGCCCTGTGCATCGCCGGGTGTGACCCAAAAAGAAAAAAAAATCTGCAAAATAAACACAAAAACACATTTAAATAAAAGGAACTCCATATGGACAGGATTGTTAGTGGCAGAGGAATTTTCTAGCAGGCAGAAGGCTGTCACTGGGGTCCCCAACACTAGCCCCTGTGCCCAGTGCAATGCCAGCAGCCCAGCTCTTGGGATTCCTGATGCCATGACAATGTATGTGATTGGGACTGTGAAGGCTGCTTGGTGCTAGAGTGCCTGCTTCACATGTGGGAGGCCCTGGTTACGATGCCCTACACTGCAAAGGGGAAAAAAATTTTTTTTTAGGTGAGCAATCTTCCGGACCAGAGAGTACGGCAGTAAGGACTTGCCTTGAATGCAGCTAATCCCAGTGTGATTCCCAAGCTCTGTCAGGAAGGATCCCTGAGCCCAGAGCCAGGAGTAAGCCTTGAGCACCCCCAGGTGTGACCCCAAAAGCCAGAAAAATAATGCAGAGCAAAGTGGGCAATCTCCAGCACACCACAACCAAGTATGCAAACACCACAAATAAAGTATGCAACTCCCAGAGAGCATTGCAAATCAAAACAAGTGCGCAAGCCCTGCAACCAAGTATGTAAGCCCTGGTCAGGGATGAAGGGGAAGGGAGGAAAAACAATTAAATTAACCAGCCAAGCCCAGGAGGTGGTTCAAGGGCTACAGTCCATCCATGCCTTGCGGTAGGAGGCCCGGGGTTCAATCCTTGGCACCAAATGTTCCCACCCAGCATGGCTGGGTGTGGTTCCCGAGCACAGGAACAACACAAACAATAACAACCCGAAAAGGAAAAAATAAACACACGCACACATTCTCTGGGGAGAAAACAGATTATTAAATAAATCTTAAAGGACAGTTACAGAGCCAGCCAGGAGGGAAAAAAAAAATACTTAAATCCAGATGAGTCAAAAATAACGACATAATTAAAAATTAAAACTCTAGTAGAAGTAAAAAAAAAAACAGGAACCGGCTTTTTTAACCTTCGTGTGGAGAAAACCTTTAAAAGTAG